CATCATCGGATGCTACACCGATACCCCAATGAAAATACCTCGCCGCAAGGGGACGAGGGGGGGTAAAGAGGCTCAGATTACAACTGTTAGTACAGTGAATGCACTGGCATGTGCATACTTAAAGATTATACCGATCGAGTTGTATGGACCTAGAGGAAAGGTCAAGACAACAGCTCTTCTGGATGAGGGATCGACCATGACACTCATAGAGGAGTGGATGGCTCAGAAGTTAGCGCCTCGCGGACGTAAAGAAGAATTACGTATTGAAGCCGTGGGAGGTAAGCGAATTAACGACGACAGTTCGTATCGCTTAAACGTTAAGATAAAAGGCATTTACTCGAACGACTTAGAAGAGATAAGTGTACAAACAATTAAGTCACTTAACCTTTCTCCGCAGTCAGTAAGTCGAGAATTATTGCAACGGTGTTCTCATTTGACACCGATTAAGGACGAGTTAATGTATGAGAGGTCCAGACCTACCATATTAATTGGCCAGGACAATTGGCATCTCATAGTTACTCGTGAATTAATTTCAGGAGGTAAGAACCTACCTGTAGCATCGCTCACCAAACTTGGATGGGTTTTACATGGTCACATATCGGGTGGCACCAAACCAATCAAGATCGTTAACCACATTTCCACCAAGAAGGAGGAAGATATGGATAAGTTAATCAAGGATTATTTTAGTTTGGAATCTCTGGGAGTGTCTGCGAGAAAGCCCGCGAACGACCCAGAAGAACGAGCTTTAAATATTTTGAGCAAAACGGTACGTCGTATACCTAATAATAGGTACGAGACTGCTTTGTTATGGCGCAGAGACAATGAGTGCATGCCGTCGAATAGAGCGCAGGTTGAAAGTCGCCTGTTTAATATCGAAAAGAAGCTCGATAAAAATAGCGAGTTGAAAAAAGAATATGAGAAGCAAATAGAAAATCTCATCGTTAACGGTTACGCAGAGAAAGCGAACCATATTTCCATTTCCCCACGCACGTGGTATCTTCCTCACTTCGCAGTGACTCATCCACAAAAAAAGAAAATAAGAATAGTTTTCGACGCCGCCGCAAGGACGGGCGGACGTTGTCTGAACGATGCATTGTTAACCGGACCGGACTTATTGAAGTCGTTGTTTGGAGTTCTGCTACGATTCAGAGAAGGAAGCGCGTGACAGTGATGGCAGACATTAAAGAAATGTTCCTGCAAGTGAAAATCCGGGAAGAAGACAGGGATAGCCTTCGATTCTTATGGCGGCACAATCGTGACGCGCCACCGGAAGAGTATAGAACAACGTCACAGAACGTGGCAGACGACGCCACTAGAAATTTTCCTTCCACCTTCGATGTAAGTCATCGCTGGTTTCAAGGACCTGAATTCCTCAGGAAAAGTCCTGATTTATGGCCCAAACAAGTGGACACCATAAAAAGCTTAGAAACAGGTGAAGAAAAATCGCCAAAAGGTGTAAATGCTCTGAGAAAGCAAGAACCGTTAAGTCTACCCGACTACGGACGATTTAGCAGCTTTAAGAAATTCCTTGGGGCAACTACACGCACCTTACAAGCGGTAGAAAAATTCAAGAGTTTAAGAAAGTCGGTTAAAGGACCCGACAGCGCAGCCGAAAAGTCGGTTATGTGTTCCAACAAAGTTTTAGCAAAGTCGGTTAAAGGACCCGATGGCGCGTTGGACATAGCGCTCTTGAGAAAAGCGGAATTGTTAATTTGGAAATTCGTTCAAGACGAGTGTTTTCATTCGGAAATAAAATGCTTGAAAGCAGGCAAAAGCGTTGAAAGAAGTTCACGCTTAAGTAAATTATCTATGAAAATAGGAGAAGATAACTTACTCCGTTTAAATGGACGTTTACCTTTTAAGTCTAATTTGACCGAGGAAAGTAGAAAACCTGTCGTATTAGACGGTAAACACGAAATCGTTAAAATGATGATTAGAGAAGTTCATCATCATTTTGGACATGCCAATCACCAGACGGTGATGAATGAGGTGAACCAGAAATTTTATGTCTTGAACTTGCGTAATGTAGTACGAAGTGTGTCACATCACTGTCAGTGGTGCAGGACATACAGGTCAAAACCGCAGAACGTGCCACAAGGAAATATTCCTCTGGAGAGAATAGCTCATCATGAACCACCTTTTACATGCTCAGCTGTGGATTATTTCGGACCTATGAGTGTGACTATAGGAAGGCGACACGAAAAACGTTGGGGTGTTTTATTTACGTGTCTGACCACCAGAGCAGTACATCTGGAATTAGCAGCCTCATTGACACCAGCGTCAATGATAATGGCATTGAGGCGATTTATCGCCAGAAGAGGAAAACCAGCCGTTATATACAGCGATAACGGGACGAATTTCAAAGCTGCGAATAAAGAATTATTGAAAGCATGCGAAGAATGCTATGAGGGCATGAAAAATGAGTCATTTAAGAAATATATTAAATGGAAATTCATACCTCCGGGAGCACCGCACATGGGTGGCGCATGGGAGAGGTTAGTAAGATCGATTAAAATTGCGTTGACCGCTACGCTCAAAGAAAGGAGCCCACGGGAGGAGGTTCTGCATACGCTGCTTTTGGAAGCAGAGCATACGGTAAATTCCAGGCCTCTGGTAACATTCAGTATGGATAGTCCTGAAGAGGGTTTGACACCCAATCATTTTCTTCTGGGACGCTCATGTGGTGATCGACCACCTGGATTATTTTTAGAGCAACATCTGACGGGTCAACTCAATTGGAAAGCTGCACAGAGGTTAGCCGACCATTTTTGGACAAGATGGCTAAAAGAATACATGCCCACTTTAATACCTCGAACAGGTAATAACGGAAAGTTCATGGAACCTAAACAAGGTGATATTGTTTTGATAATAGATCATTCGTTGCCACGAAATACGTGGCCGAAAGGCAAAATTAGTAGAACGCTACCGGGACCAGACGGTCACACCAGAGTGGTTGACGTCATTACTAGCACAAGTATCTTGAGGAGACCTACATCCAGAATAATAGTGTTGGTACCCGCGACGCCTCCCAAATAATGGTGCTGACGCACGGAGGGGAGATTGTTGGCGACGCGCCTAAAAGAATATTTCAGTTTACTAAGTCAACCGATGACGAATAGCTTCTAAAAGGCAAATTGTCCAATAGCAATGTTCTAATAAGAAAATGCTTAGTTAAATCTTAAAGAATATCGAATTAATGATATGAAGGTCTTGGGTTCGACTCCCAGGCCGGACTAGTTTATTGTTTTCTTAAGTAATATCTCTTAATAAATTCATATAGGGAATTTTAAGATATAAATTATGCTACCGGATTTGTTCCCCGGTTGAAATCATCTTTCCAATGATGTAAATTCAAAGGAATATTAAAGTGAAGTTAGAGATCGGATTTGTTCCCCGGTCGAGATGATCACTCTGTGCATAAATAGAATTAACGGAAATTAATTGCATAAGTATTGTCTTATATGAGTTTGATATGTCTTGTATGAAAATAAATGCCTATTTGCTATGATTGATTTATGAGAACATTCACTTATATTGTTATCTGATAAGAAACATGATAACTGATAAGAATCTGATTAGAAATAGTTTCCTACAGTTTGAAAATTGTGTAGAAGCATTTATTCACCTAATACTGTCGATATTGGTGTATATTAGACTTTTCATTTTTTCTGATAGTCGAGAGCCGTGCAAAAGTTAGTTGTTCAAATAGTGTGAGTTCATAGACGCACGCTAAGCCACGCCCTTAGGAGGCCAAATATGTAAAAATTTAAATATTTGTAATTTCAGTAATTTATGTAAAAATGACTTGTAAAACATTTCAGGTTGATTGTACGTGCTAAAAAGGTGAATTCTGTGTTATTTTTATGTGAAAATTCCTGTGTATAAGTGAAATAATGATAGTTTTGTATAAGAAATTTAAAAGTGTTTTAATAGTGAAATGAATAGAGAAAATGTAAATTAAACTATTGTATTGGTTAACTTATGTATAATTTCAAGTGGAAAACATTGTTTTAACTTTCTATGTTAAATATTTAAGAAATTTCGACTTTGAACTTGTGAGTAAAATAGGCATATTTTGTTAAATAAATAATAGGTTTTTTGTGATATGAAAATGTAATGTATATCGTAGTGTAGATATTGTTTTGTGCTATCTATACAGGTAAATGATGTTGATGTATGACTTATGCAAATAAAGTAATTTAGTAAAACGTGAGAGAGTAATAGAACAAATTCATGTAATTGAGTTGCGCAAGCGCGCGAATGGCGCGGCTCACTTTCGCGTATAGCTCTGGGGTAGCTCAGTAAATGAGTTTTATTGCAATTCTGGGAAGTTCGGGGAATCCTTCGGGGAAGTTTCGAGAAATAAGTACGAAAATCCTTCGGGAAAAGTGCAAGACCAGCAGTCAATAAGAAGAAAGAAAAAGTGTAGGGAAGTGATAGGGAAAAGTAATTACTCTCTCACGGAACGGTTTGAAGATAATTGCTGTTTTATTCCCAAGAAATTCATCCCTCAAAGTTATACAGTCCACATCGAAGAATTAAGGCGTTGGGACCGGGACGACTTCGGAAGACCCGTAATCCCCGTCTGAACCTATTTGCTGAAAAGGAAGAGGTTATCGCCCTTGTGTGTTACTCCGTTGCGGAGATCACATACGTTGTTCCCGAACCCAACGTAGGCGTTATAGGAGGCCGGATCGAGAGAAGCCTCGATTCCTCCCTTCTGTTTCTTAATCCCCGGGTTGGTTCCTTTTCACATTTATCTACCTTTTATAAAATGTAAGGTAAAAATATATTGATATTTTTACTAAAATAGACGTCACATAAATTATTTGAATGATCTCGTTAAAAAGCAATAAAAGTGACTGCAGTTTATGTATTCCATTTGTAAAATTACCATTTTAATTAAAAAAAGGGTAACAATTGACTATTACACACGTAATTTTTAATTAAATAAGTAACTACTAGGTTTCCTTTAATGTTGCTTTATTACAACCAATGTTATGTTCCTCTTCGTAGAGTACAACAAAGAACGGCTTAAAGCAACCTCTTTGAGTATTCAACCAACCAAACAGCAACCTACTTCCAAAGACTTCTTGCATGTTCCAATGTTAACTTATTTTAGTGACGAATCACTTCGTAATGGAAATAATATGTAAGTATTTTCATAGCTTTTCTATGTTTTATTATATAAAATAAAAAACCAAAAAATTAACAAAATAAAACATAATAACTATTCCATTTATCCTTTTCATTTACTGGGTAATGCAAAAATGTGCCTTTCAGATACTATAAATATTACAAACCTTCAAAACTTGTCTGTCATCAACAGGATGTAACAACGGACAAAGGAGATTGGGATGAAAAGGTATTTGGAATTTTTTGAATGACGAGCGAAGCCTTTATGTAAGTTATACTTACTGAACTACATATTCACGAAAAGTCCTCTACCACTAGCTGTTTTACCGCGTACTTTTTGCAATCATTTTATCTACTTTTGTAAGGATATGAAGGTTGTTGTTTTAAAATAGCATCGTAATAAAGAATTCAACATAGTCAGTACTTTAATTGTTTTTAAAACTACGTGTATATATATTTTTTTAATTTTTTTTTATCACAAAGGGAAACAAAATTTAAATAATATAATAAACCTAAGCTTATAATAGTGGAGATTAACAGAGAGTTCCTGCCTTATAAATGTCTTTATTACGTATTAAATTTCGAGTTAAAATAAACCTCCATCAAAAGAATTAGAATAAAAAAAATATACTAAAATTATGATCAATATTAAACGTATAAAGTGAAAGTAATCTAAAAGTTAAGCGACTACAAGCTCGCCAAATCGTGAACTACGAATCTACCATTCGACTACTGATCAGTCACTGGCGGCAGGACTTCTATTCTGGTTACGAGTCCTTCCGGTTCGGTACCACACTCGGTTGCGGCACGCACGTGACCGGTGTGAAGGATATTTTACAAGTTGTGAGGCCTTCTTATTTTTGGTTGCAGATATCTTTCAGTAGGAACTTACCATCAGGTGGACTATCAGTTTGTTTGTCAGTTCAGTTACATACAAAAAATAAGATGTACTTATTTCTTGTGATAAGAAATTGCAAAAATATCAAATTCCCACAAAAACATAACATTGTGAATAGTTCGGTACAAACGACATGCGGTATAATCAGCTTCACCGATATTATATAGATCTATAAGTAATTGAAACATGCTGTGGGCCAAGCTCCATAGCAGTTTCGAGAACGTAAATTCCCATAGATAAACTGCTGAAAGAAAAGATGTTTATCCAGTAAAATAACTTGAAGGTATACGTGTTCACCCACGTGTACTAAGATGAAATATTTTGTAATCAGTAAAAAGGGTAACCGGTTCTCTACACGCAACATACGTTAAACACACCAACATGTTTCTGCTTTTTCTAGCTGTATGCTTTGAAACTTGGTCCTCCCCGGTCGAGCTGACACATTCGTGCTTCAAGCATAATACAGCAGCAGCGTGGCTCTACTACGTATGAAATTGTACCGTTTGATTAGTAGAACTCAAAGACGTATAAAAAGGTAGAACCTACAATAAATGTAAGTTTGAGTTTTAGTTTTTGAATTTATAAACTTTTATAATCCCATTATTTGTATATTTATGTTTAACATTTAAAAAAATCTTTTTAATATATTAAAACTATGTCTTAAATATATATATATATATATATATATATATATATATATATATATATATATATATATAATTGTTCTAAAATATGCGCGTAATCAATATTATGTTTAATTAAGTCGATACAATTATACAGTGTGATAATATTGTTTGTAAACATATCAGTTTTAGATGACTGATGACACAGGCCTTATCTGAGTTAAATTAAAATGGAATCCCGGCAATCATTTAAGGGATATTTTTTGTATTATGGGGATATCCCTGGATGCTTAAGCATATGCATAGGTATAGGTGTGTCTTGAAGACAAACTCCTTTTCCTTTGTCTCCTCAAGCAAAAGTGCACCGAAACGTCAGGCGTGCCTTTTTATACGGTCTCCGTCTTCTCGTGCGCAATAGATTGATGTACTAGGAGTTTACCAACTTTATCTCAATTTGCAACTCAGGGAACTAAGGAACTAGTAAATGCAGTCCAGTTTAACACCCAACAAAAAGCCCTTTGTCTCTCCTCGATTTCAGGGCACTTCGCTTGCTGCCGCAGCCAGCATCGGTATCCATGGTGTCGACATTTCGTGAGAACAACAGTTTCGCAGTCATTTTGATGGCGGTCCACTAAGTTTTCTGCCTCGCGCGATCACACCGTTGAATTTACTGTCATCAGCCGTTTTTTACGGATCGACACGGTTTAGAAATCTTCAAGAAAAGTGTCTAATTATTTCTAAAAGCTCAGCAACGCACCTGCAATACCCTTTTTGCAGGATGACGGTGAAGACATACAATGAGCTAAGCCGTTTGCTCACCTGTCTAATCTTCAATAAAAAGAATGTATTTAAAATTGTTACTGAGTTGAGTCTGGCATATTTTTCAAGAATTGCAGACCAGCGTCAGCAACTGCCGAATGTATTTAGAGAGACTAGACTAGAATGAAAGCAAAAAAATACGGATTTATAGTGACTGGTAAAATTGAAACTAGGGTAAAGGATTCAAGAGGTGAATCCCTTACCTAAGTTTATTATAATCAAATATTAGTTTGAATTTATGTTAGTAATAAGTATTAATTAGTATTAGTTTGAATTATCCGACAAATACTATAAAATAATATTATATAATATTTTTGTTGTGCTCCGTAATCCATAAAAAGTTAATAAGTTAATAAAACAACGCTCAGAAGTCATAAAGACAATTTTATATTCTTATCAGCCCATATAAACTCACAATAAGGAAAGGGTCGATGTGAAAATGCGACAAAATACCCTTTCGCTTATGAAATATTAATAAATTATTGAAAGATAGATAGTTAAAATTTTAACGTAAGTAATGTATTGTATAATATTTTTTTTATAAAATAAACGCACCTGAAATATTTTAGGATTATCTAGTTAAAAAGCAAAAAAGCGACTGCAGTTTATTAATTCCATTTGACAAATTTTCATTTTCAATAAAAAAAAGATTATAAATTGTCCTTTACACACGGAATTGTTATTTAAAGAATTAACTACTACTACTAGGTTCCTTTTCCTGTTCCTGTAAAACAACAAGTGTTGTGTTCTTTCTCGTAGAGTACAACAAAGCACGGCTAAGAGCAACCTAGATCCAAAGACTTCTTGCATGTTATTTTGTTTTAGTGGAAATCACTTTTAAATGTAAATCATACTACAGTGTAAGTATTATCGTAGTTTTTATATGTAATATTATAATATAACATAAAATCAATCAAATCTTGATATTTTAATAAATATAATAAAAATTTAAGTACAGATGTCAAAGAATTCTTTGTTATTTCCACACAATAACCTTTAAAGTTTGTGCTTAGACATAGTGTCATAAAGAAGCCTCTGACTTCAGAAGCTATCGTGCGAAATTATTTGTATTTTTAAGTTCTGTGAATTCATTGAATAAAACTATTTATACGGATTTTATCGCGTTTAGTTAACTTATTTTAATGCTGATTTACAGCATCCATAGTCACGGGGGAGGGTAGTACTGAGATTTTAGACGTCCCGATGTCACTACCTTCAGTTTTGAATATTATTTTTTGGGCCGATCACCGCAGAACCAGCTTACAGTATTTTCAAGTTTGCAGTGATTTGATTGGGTTTGGATTTAATTTTGTTAATTATAGGATCTCAATCAGATGGCAATTAGGATGTTTTTTTAATTTCGATAGCCTCGCGTATCATCCTTGGTAGGAATCGGTGTTCTTTTGCGAGCATTTGTGGTTTAACCAGATTGAGGTAATTAAACGTGATAAAATCCATATAAATAATTTTATTCAATATGTAGTGTTAGCGTTAATATAAGAAATCATCTATTGGCATAGTTATTTACATAAAGTTTAATGTTTTGATCCTTTTGAGTGAAATACTATATTATATACATAAATTCAGTTAAAACAAAAACATCGTCACAATTTTTTAATTGCTATGTAAGGATTTTTTCCTAAAATTTGAAAGGGAAGTATTTAGATCTCACGAAGGGGAAGTCACCCTTGTTTAAAAAAAATTGGCTCAAAATTGACGCATACTTCGTTCAACATACGAGTAAATACAGTAAATAAGACGGTCAAATCGATAACCTCGTCCATACGTCGGCTAATAAATTCCAATTGTTACGATTAAAAAATTGAACTTTTCTATAAACTAAGCTCATAATTGGCTACTACAGTGTATGGCCAACTGAAGCCAACATAAAACAAAGGTGGCTACAGTGCGCTGTCACCAGCCTGTAATTATTCAGATAAAATAATTTTAACGACCGCGTTGAACTCGAATAAGGAAAACACGACGTAAATATTAAGGGTAAAGTCCCTGTACCCCTGGAAACATTTATGCCGTATTAGTAACGGAAAATGGACATTAATACAATTCTCGTATAAATACAGGCGATATGGAGGTACCACGACAGACACAAACCAACATTTGAGACTGTAACACAGAATATTAAAAAAGGTAAGGAATTTTGTTAATATCATGCAACTTAACATTTGGATAATTTTAATTACTGAATTAAACTGATCTTTAAAGTTGAACTTAGTGATAGTGGTTTACTTTAAATATCACATTTTCAATTGCTAATTATGAAACCCCCACTATATTTTTAATAATTTTACTAAGGGTTAATTCTTTATTTCTATTATATTTTGCTAACATTTTATCTTTTATTTTTTTATTACAGAAAAATGCATCATCATCAGTTAGCGATTCTTGGTTTTGTTTTAATCGCATTCACTAAGCTAGTTTCATGCATGTCTATTGAATGTATGCAAAGTCGCAGGTAAGTAATGATTAATATTATTTCAAAGTGCAATACATTCTTACTCGTCTTGTTAACTTGCGTTCAATCTCGAAATAGAAGCACTGAACTGCCTCGGCCAGTCCAGTAATATAATTTTGAGCTTCATCATCTGGGCCTTTTTCATTTTTTTTTTCATACTTATACTAGACTTTATTAAATATGTTCTCAAAATGAACTAAAAATTATACGCCTTTTTATTTTTTTATAAATATTAAATGGCTTTATTATGGAATTTCTGCAGCACTTTTAAATAGTGATTTAGTATATGTTTTATTAGAATCAGGCGTTACTTTGTGGAAGTCCATTATATTTAATATGTTAACAATGATCAGATAAGATCCGCATCAATACGTTAGAGTTTTAGTTTTTTTTTACAAACCTGCTTATATTATTGAAAGACGTGTATGTAAGCAATTTACTACTTTCTACGTATATTTTAGGATAGATCCAACACGACCGTGCGATATGACATGGGGCAAGCAAGTTGGCAAGGGAACCGTTTTCGGGACATTGGGTAATAGCGATCAAGGGCTTTACGTGAGTTTTGTTTGTTGAAAAAAAATTGCATAATGTTAAATTAGAATGAATATAATTGCTCCATAACCCCCTTCAAAGTAGAGAAGTCCTTTGTCAAGCTGGAAGTAAGAAAATAGTTGTCAAATCAAAAGACCAAGTGTTTATTTAAAATAATTGTCTTTAGGGTAAAGGAGGTTACAAGCAAGATATTTTTAATGATGCTAGAGGGAAATTGGAAGGGCAAGCGTATGGAACTAGAGTCTTGGGACCTAATGGTGACTCTAGTTCACTTGGTGGAAAACTGGACTGGAACAATGTAAACAAGGATGCCAGAGCTACTTTAGAGATAACCAAGCAGATACATGGACCTACTAACGTGAGTGCTTTACATTTGAAACTTGAATATATTATAATGATGGTTTATATTATATTATATATAAATATTATAATGAATATATATAATGATTTTTATTATATTTGCCACTTTGCCTGGCGTATGTGGACTATGAGAAAGCCTTTGATTCCGTCGAAATTTGGGCGGTGCTGCAGTCCCTTCAGCGGTGTCAAGTTGACTGGCGGTATATCGAAGTGCTGAAGTGTTTGTACAGTAGGGCTACGATGGCTATCCGAGTACAGAACCAGAGCTCGAAACCTATCCAACTGCAGAGAGGTGTAAGACAGGTCGACGTTATATCCGCGAAACTCTTCACCGCTGCGTTGGAAGACGTTTTCAAGCTACTGGACTGGAAAGGATACGGTATTAACATCAATGGCGAGTACATCACTCACCTTCGATTTGCCGACGATATAGTCCTTATGGCAGAATCGCTGGAGGACTTAAGCACTATGCTCAATGACCTCAATAGTGCCTCCCAACGGATAGGTCTTAAGATGAACATGGACAAAACTAAGATCATGTTTAATGTCCATGTCACACCTATGCCGGTAGTTGTTGGGAGCAATATGCTCGAAGTTGTTGACGAGTACGTTTACCTGGGACAAATAGTCCGACTAGGTAAGTCCAACTTCGACCGAGAGGTCAATCGACGGATTCAACTCGGCTGGGCAGCGTTCGGGAAATTACGACACATCTTCTCGTCAGGTATACCTCAATCTCTGAAAACTAAAGTGTACAACCAGTGCGTGTTGCCAGTGATGACTTACGGATCAGAGACGTGGTCCTTCACTGCTGGCCGTGTGAGGATCGCTCAGCGAGCTATGGAGAGGGCTATGCTCGGAGTTTCTCTGCGTGATAGACTCAGAAATGAGGATATCCGCAGTAAAACCAGAGTGACCGACATAGCCCAACGGATTAGTAAGCTGAAGTGGCAATGGGCCGGCCATATAGCTCGAAGAACCTATAACCGATGGGGAAGAAAGGTTCTCGAGTGGCAGCCTCGTACCGGTAGGCGTAGTGTAGGGCGACCCCCCACTAGATGGAGTGACGACCTGGTAAGATATGCAGGAAGTCGATGGATGCAGGTGGCTCAGGACCGTGCTTTGTGGCATTACTTGGGGGAGGCCTATGTTCAGCAGTGGACTTGTGAAGGGCTGTGATGATGATGATGATGATGATGATGATGATATAGTGATGGTATTTTAACGGATCTTTACATCTCTATAATGTCACGAGCAAACCTACAAAGTAATATATAGCAGTGGGCTTAAACAAGCATCATGTCTTGTTGATTCGAAAAAAAGTTGTATAAGCACAAACATTGATTTCTGTTGATATTCACATTAAGAGCTGCTACATATTAATCTATAAACCACTTGTAATCTATGAAAATTACATATATTTCATATTTCAATCAACATAAAGTTTTTTAAAAATGTGTCTGCTACAAAGTGTTTCACAAGCATTGTAAATTCACAAATTTATATTACAGCTGGACGCATCAGCATCTAAAGTGTGGAACTTTGACAAGAATACTCGTCTATCAGCTGGTGGGACTGTAACGCAAGAGCTTGGTCACGGAAAACCCGACTATGGTGTCGGTGCTACTTTCCAACATGACTTCTGATTGTTCCCGAGAGAATTTATATACTGATATAATACAATAAAAATACCACCAAAAAAAAACTATTTTTTTAATTTTTAGCAATGGATAAACGCCATAGCATGGTCTTAAGATTTTTGGGGCATTTCCCTAAGCCGTCTTTTACGACAATCACGATGTGATGCGATTGATATGGATTAAGGAATGTATTTTCTTATTCTTACACCCTCACCAAAGGGATCTTTTTACCATAATATGAATGTATATTTTCAAAGCAGGAATATTTAAACCGTGTTAAAAGTTATTCGTGCAACGCTATTGTAGATTAGTACCCGTCAGGTTAAGGTTGTACTCCAGCATTAAGGATGGAAATGAAACAGGAGGTGAGCAGCACCATCTTCCTGGTAACAACTTTTTAGTTTCAGCACTTCAGCTCCGTAGCCCAGTGATTAAGTTACTGTGCTGAAAGCCGCAAGTGCGAATCCTACATGAAACTATACTCGTATGGCCTACAAATAATTGTTTAAATATTTACTCTTTTCACAATACGGGAGAAAATATATGGGTAATATTATAGGACAATACAATATAACACAATATTAATCAAAATAATTGAAAAAATGTTGCAGTCATTTTTATGCTAAATATGGTAAATATTTGGCCCTTTGTGAGGCAATGTATGCGGGAAGGTATTTCGTAGGTAAGTATGTGGACTTTCGATTGGGTACGATGATGATAATGATGATGATTATGATTATGAAAGCTAATACTCCAGCATTTATGATGGGAATGAAATAGGACATGGGTAGATTTCTTCTTCAGACCTTGATATCAATTAAAATAATGAAAAACTGTGCTTAAATTGTAGGGATTTCTTCACCAAGTATGGCAACTATGACAAATATATAGGGAAGCCCTATTAGGAAAATTAGTTCAGCAGTAAACTTTTGGAGGGCTGATTAATGACAGTTAAATATTAAGTTTATTGTTATCGATTCCTAATATTTACGCGAACACTACACATTGAATAAAATTATTTGTACATATTTTGTCGCTTTAATTAACTTATTTTTAATTTCCAATGTTTCGGGTGCTTTACCGGAAAGTCTACAGTATGTAAACATGTTCAAGATCGTCCCCACTATTACATCAGATTTGATAGACCACACATCCTCTCAAAAGAACATTCATTTCTATTACTACCAATTCCTAGTTACTCGTAGACACCAAGAATGACACGCGAACCTATTAAAAATAAAGACAAATATCCTTATATCAATAGAAAATATGGATGGGTACTGCCATCTGCTTGGAATCCTATAATTAACGAAATTAAATCTAAACCCAAGCATACCACTGTAAGACTTCAAGATACTGTTAGCTCGTTCTGCGTAGATTGGACCAAACATGAATATAAAAAAACTGAAGGTAGCCTAGATAACTATGACATTGGGACGTCAAACATCCCGTGACCATGGGTGCGGTAAAGCACCTGAAACGTTGGGAATTAAAAAAAAATTAAACGCGATAAAATCCATATACATAGTTTTATACAATTATTATTATCGACTTAGGCCAGCTGTCGATTACTGCTGTTCTTTACAAGTTTTATAAATAGGTTAAAGTTAGAATGATAACACAAAGATATCAAGCTAGTGCTTTTACAACGCAATTCTTTCACATTGTACCTATTTAATTTACATTTGATAAAAATAAGGGCTTCCACTACCCCGTCTTAAATGTCCACAGAACAAAATAAAACAAAAGATGGGTAAAACCATTTTTCTGATGACAACTTTTTGTCGGCACCTTAGCGCAGTGGCCTAGCATTGTGTTGTTCAGTACAACTGAGGGCTGTGAGTTCGAATCCCACACGAAACAAGTATGCGTATGGCCTACCAATAACTGTTCCTGGTCAGGATATTTGGTCTCGTGCAATTTATGTATGTTTACTACTTTTAAAATACAGAAGAAAAAAAGTGTTGAAGCCAACCCGTTTGGTAAATGTATGAATCCAATGAGTGAGGACATTTCGTAAATAAGTAGATTTCCGACAGGCTATTATAATATATAATGATGATTATAATGGTGAAAGTTTAGTCAGCGCACGCCAATAAAACCACCAATTGCTTAATTGTTCTCCGAATAGTTAATTACTATTATATTATAGACGTCCAGACATTATCCCTATCCCGGGGTAAGACTAAAAACTCAGATGCGTTGATAACTCTGAAGACTTAGATTGATTGCCTCGTTTTCTGTAAAATGAATCTACGGTTCTCTACACTCACCATACTAAACCCGACCGCATTAAGCTGCCATTTTATAATTGCTATTCTGTGAAAGCGTGGTCCTTCCCGGTTGAACTGACAACTGACTCATTCGTG